CAAAAATATTTTGCCAAAACAAACAGATTCAAAAGATTTTTTTACACAAATTATTGTAGAAAATGTTAATAAAAGTATTGGCAAACAGCTCTTCAAAATTCGGAGATTTTTATTTATAATTTTGTTTATTAATTTATTTTTATTTTTGTTAAAATTTAAACAGATCCCCTTATTTCATTTTTTATCATCTCTGAAATATTTGCAAACAATTAATACCTCCCATTCCTGGCTTGATCTGCTGTCAAAAACTAAAGGCAGCCTTGCTTGAAAATTATATGCATCTACTAAGAGATATAAAAGGATAGAAAGATAATTTGCATTAATGAGATTTCTATACGTAAATTTTTTGGTTAACTTTGGCACTAACTTTTGCTAAAATTAAAAAAAAAAACCTAGGTCTTCTTTCAATCACTTAATCTCCATTTAATTTCTTGCAAAATCAATCAAATATCCCATCCCCGTGTTGTCAAAAAACACAACAGCAGCAGCACATCAGTAAAAGTTACAACAGAGAGATATGTAATGAGAGAGAGAGAGCGCACAACCCGCCATGGGATTACCATTCATTTGCAAAGGTTGAGCTGATCATTGTTGTTGTTTGTGTTGTTCAATGACGACACGACTTTGAAAGAGAGACACTCGTATTACCAGCAACATCATCATCACGAGCCTCGTTGCTGCCTGCCTGACTGGCTGCCGAACAATAAAATAGAGGGCAACATTGTAAAAAACGATTGTGTTGTTGCATTTCTTCTTTGTGTTATGCATGCACGATTGGGTTATGCATGTGTGTGCGTGTGTATGTGGTCCAGGGGTATATGTCATAACACAACAGCAGCTGTTTTGTTTTTCTGGTTTTGATGCTGCTGCTGCAGTCAAACTGTTATGGTTATCAAAAAATTGGTGAGCAACCACCACAAACGCTGGCAGGTAGTTTAAGAGGGCAACAATAACAACAAAATCATTATCATAATGACGTTTGAGAAAGGGGATAATCATGTTAAGGCTGCTGCTGGTGTTGCAGCGTAGTGACAGCTGTAATAAAAGCAATGCAATATTTTTGTTGTTGGTTTCCTTTTGGCATGGAAAAAACGGGGGTGGTGGTAAAGGGGGTATAGAGGGTGAGGCTGATGTTGCTGGTGGTGGATATTGCCAAAGTTATCCCCTTAGTTTTTTTGGGGCCCCAAAAAACGTAAACATTTGTTAAGTTTGCCGGTCGATCTTCTTTCATGCATGACAGACAGACCAAACGAATGAACGACCGACAGACAGCCATACAACCCGTGTAAAGTGTCGTCTGTCTTTACCGTTGTTTTTGTATTCGCGTCACTAATAATCATGTTCGTTTGGATATCGTCGTCGTCGTTGCTGGGTTTTTGTTTGTTTGTTGCTGCTGATGATGTCTTGTTAACGGCATTGTTGGTTGCCTGCCTTGTCTTGCCTGCTTGGCTTGTTGGTGGTGGTGGCAATGACGATGTCGCCTTGTTTTCTTTCGTTTGATTTTTTTCTCTCTTTTTTTGTTGTTTTGTGTGTGATGTTGATGGCGGTGGTGTGTCGGCGGCGGGTTGATTGGATATGGCAATGGTGGTGGTGGTGATTTAAATCTTGCTTGTCGTCGTTGCTTTTGTTGTTGTTGTTACTGCCGACGACGATGATGATGTTCATTATATTGGCTATATGGCCTAGTATTAACCGTGCAGCTGCTGTCCGTAAAATTGTGGTTGCTTTGAAATATTATCGTCGCCGTTCGTCCATTCGGTTGGGCTTTGCTCGTTGCTTGGTTTGAATGGATGGATGGTTGGTTGTTTGGCTGGCTGGGCCGATGGCAGATTGGTTTCATTGTTGTTGCTGGGTTTTTGATTGCTCATTTTGTTTGTCTGCTGCTGTTCGTGTTGTTGTTTTTGTTGTGCTGCCGCTTTGCTTGCTTTTTATATTGTGTCTGGCTGACTGTCTGAAATTTTTTTCTTCTTATTTTTTGGGGGTTTTATTTTCTGCTATTCTTCTTTATGGGATTTGTATGTAAGGGGTGTGTGTGTTTGTGTTGCCGATTGTAACACAAAAACAAATTGTTGGCCGAGTAACGAGATGGATGGCACTGGCAACGTTCATAATGAACTTCGTGTGATCATGATGACGTTTGATTGGGTTTTGTTGTGATAATGTTTTTTTTCGGATTTTGTATTTGTGTGTGTGCACGGGGTCCCAAACATCACAACCACCACCACTGGCAGCAACACAGCGACCATTGTCGGCATAATCTTTCGTGTTTTGTTTTTGTTGTTGTTGTGTTGCCATCGCCACTATACACAAAAAATTTGTAATAATAACCATTACATACAACAACAAAAATAAGAGGAATAAAAGCAAAACTACTACCCTGCAATAACAACAACAATGGCACTGTCAATAGCGTTGATGATGATGACTGTGTGACTACGATGACAACACCACCACCATCAACGACAACAACAAAATGCTATGCCAAATCCAGACAGCAAAACCCAAAATCAGCAAACAACCGCGTTTTAACGGCTACCATACCCAGCAAACATTTTGCAAAGGGATTGAAATAATTTTTTGAAAATTAAGAAAATAAAAAAATAATTTACAAAAATAGTAAAAAAATGTTTTGGGAACTATGAAAAAAAATTAAAAAAATATTTAGTCTTTGAAAACATATTTTTTAAAAAATCCACGCTTGGCTGACAGTATGATTTTTTTGACATGAAAAATATTTTTAAAAAATCCACGCCTGGCTGACTGTCTGATTTTTTTGACTTGAAAAATATTTTTAAAAAATCCACGCCTGGCTGACTGTCTGATTTTTTTGACTTGAAAAAATATTTTTTTAAAAAATCCACGCCTGTCTGACTGTCTGATTTTTTTGACTTAAAAAAATATTAAAAAAAAAATATTTTTTTAAAAAATCCACGCCTGTCTGACTGTCTGCTTTTTTGACTTGAAAAAAATATTTTTTTAAAAAATCCACGCCTGGCTGTCTGTCTGCTTTTTTGACTTGAAAAAAATATTTTTTTAAAAAATCCACGCCTGGCTGTCTAATTTTTTTGACTTGAAAGAAATATTTTTTAAAAAAATCAACGCTTGGCTGACTGATTTTTTGACTTGAAAAAAATATTTTAAAAAAAAATATTTTTTAAAAAAATCCACGCCTGGCTGACTGTCTGCTTTTATTGACTTGAAAGAAATATTGTTTCAAAAAATCCACGCCTGGCTGTCTGATTTTTTTGACTTGAAAGAAATATTGTTTTAAAAAATCCACGCCTGGCTGTCTGATTTTTTTGACTTGAAAGAAATATTTTTTTAAAAAATCCACGCTTGGCTGACTGTCTGATTTTTTGACTTGAAAACAATATTTTTTTAAAAAATCCACGCCTGGCTGACTGTCTGATTTTTTTGACTTGAAAAAAAATTTAAAAAAACCACGCCTGGCTGACTGTCTGATTTTTTTGACTTGAAAAAATATTTTTTTTTTAAATATTCACGCCTTTTTTTTAAATATTCACGCCTTGACTTGAAAAAAAATATTTTTTTTTTAAATATTCACGCCTTTTTTTAAAATATTCACGCCTTGACTTGAAAAAAATATTTTTTAAAAAATCCACGCCTGGCTGATTTTTTTGACTTGAAAAAAATATATTTTTTTTAAATATTCACACCTGGCTGACTGCCTGATTTTTTTGACTTAAAAAAAAATAGTTTTAAAAAATCCAAGACTGGCTGACTGTCTGATAGTCATAGTCAGGCTGAATCCGAGTTTGTTGTTTTTATAAAACATTTTATTTAACATTAGTTTAAATGTTTTTGTTCCCTTCAAAAAAGTAATTCCCTTAATTGAATTTAAAATGTTTTGCTGGGTTACAGCAACACAAGACCCCAGCCAGGCAACGACAACGATGAATAACCACATTTTACATGCTCTCACAAGTTGGATGGATACTGACCGGCCAGTCAGCCAACCAACTGTGTGCTGTTGTTGTTGACGACGCCGACAACGGCAACAACGGCATAGTATCGCATTTGGTTGTTTTTGTGAGTCGGTTTTTTTGTTCGTTTTTGTTTTTCATTACCCCAGCTGTAGTATTACTGCTGTGGTTGGTCTTTGACAACAACAACAACGACAGCAGCAGCAATAACGAACAGACGAACGATGGAACGACTAACTCTGTGACAACACTATTAAAACAACACACAGCAGTTGTTTTACAACGACAACAGCCGCCTGCCTGCTTAGCTGGCCTGCTACAACGAACGTTGTTTGTGTGGCTGATTGCCTGCCAACCTACCCGCACCCGCCACCACCGTCAACCAAACAAACCAACCAACCACCATCATCTTCATCAACATCATCATCATCGTAGTCGTCAATCGGACAGACATATTTGTGTGTGTGTGTTTTTTGTTTTTGTTATTCTTCTTTTATACAACTATACGACGACGAACGACTACTGCTGTTGTTGCCTACTACTATTGTTGTTGTTGTTTTTGTATACCTCCCCAACCACACACCACACACAATACAACAGAGTGCAGAGTATTGCTTGTTTGGTTGCCTGCTTTGTTTTGCTGGTGCTGCTGCTGTTGTTGCCATCGTTTGCTGCTCTTTGCCATCATCCATGATTGTCGGTTGCCGTCAGTCTGTTGTTTGCGTTCAGCCAGGAGTGTTGGCAATCAGTTTTTTAGCGCGTCGCAGTTGGGTTTTTATTTTCCTCGACTCTCTCTCGCCTGCTCGTTGTGTATAGTATTTGAATGAAATAAAATTATAAAAAAGAAAATAATAGTGTTCGATAATCACAATAGAAAAAAATAAATGAAATAAAATAAAAATATTTGCAGAAATAAATTGCAATAAAAACAGCACAAAGATAATAAAAACAAAAAGAGAATTAAGTGTCCAAAAAGAAGGGCCTTAACATCCCCTGCCCATTTATCTCTCCCCCTACAACAACAAATTTGGAAACATTCGGCCCACAATAAACAAATCAAGGAACATCACCGCCACCAGAAGCACCAGCAGCAACACCATGTTGGAAAATAAACCGGAAAATTACAATATAAATGCCAAAATTTGTCGCCTAGTGGAGCAGTATCCCTGCATGTATGATCGTTCACATCCCAGCTATTTGAAGAAAGATGTTGTCGATCTGGCATGGATAGCGATTTCGAAAGAAATGAATGATTCAAGTAAGTAGTATGCTGCAGTAAGCAGCAACAACAACATCATTAACAACACTTTGATTGGTGGCTCCAAGAAAATACACGTTTTTTGAATCACCGAAGAGTGAGAGTGGAGGGGGGTTATTTCCTAATCAGCCCCTTCCTCTGCTTTTGGTTCCACCCAACCACCACCAGCCATTCCATCCTTAGTTTTGTAATTGCCAATAACCAACCCAACAAACTAGCCATCATCGTCGTTCCGTGGTCTGTCACCAACATCATCATGTAATAACAAAAACAAAATGAGAAAAAACAACAAAAACAACTTAACTCATATTATTCTTAATTATGAGCAATTTGTTGTTTTTGTGTTTCTTTTAACACAAGCAAAAAAAAAGAAAAACAAAAACAGCGCATTGCTTGCTTGGTTGTTATTTTGTTAATAGTTTTTTTCGTTTGTTGTTATTATTTTTTACTTCTTTTCGTTTTTATTATTATTTATACTCTCCTACTAAAAACCCGCCGTTTGCCACTGCCGCCGTGGTATTATTTATAGTAGTTTTCTTTCGTCTCGCAAAGTTAAGCTCTTTTGTTTTTCAACCACACTATAAATACAGTACCACAGTGGGGCTACTCTCCAATATACACAGTACTCTCTCTCACATTTCATCTCTGTGCAATATTGCTGTTATTTTGTTTTCCACTTCCCCCACACACACATATACACACACAACAAGGCAAACATGTTTGGACAAGGGGGCAACATTGCTTTTGTTTTATGGCGGTGCAAAGAGACGGCGACCACCGTTGTCGTCATATGTCGTGTTGTATTGCAGCACTCGGCCATTGGGTGAGGTAGAGACAGAGACCAGTGTGTGTGCAGAGAGAGCAAGAAAACGAGAGTTTTGCAAAAAAAGAAAACCCCCATTGTTACAATAACAAGGAATGCAATACATAACAACAACGCCGACAATTGGTAACTGTGTCGTTTGTTGTTGCCGTTGTGTAGTAGCAAACAAACAAAATGCACAGACCAGGCATATGTTTGTTTTGTTTGCTTCTTTGAACTATAGCAACAACAAAAGTAGGCAGATTTGCTGTCGTGCATTCGTGTGTGTATGCAGTGTATGGCCAAAAAACAATAGTAAACATAACATTGCAGGCTACCAACAACAACCAATCATCCCTGTTTTTTGTTGTATACATCCCAATCAAAACAAAAGGTTGATTTTTGCTGGGATGTTGCTCGTTGTGCACACAGTGATGTTAATGTGGCGTTTTTTGACTGATGCATTATTAAGGAAATTAATTACTTGTATATTTAATAAATAAATTAACGTGTATTACTTTTGGATAGGATGCCAATGTGGTGTTTTTGGACTCTTGAAGGATTAATGGAAGAAAGTAAATGGCGGAATTAAATTGAGAAGTTTAGTTTTTTTTAAGATAAGAAGGCAATAAAAGATAAAGCAATAATTAACGACAAAAAAATTAGCAAACGTCATTTAGCACAGTGATGTTAATTTTGCGTTTTTTATGACAAAGTTATGAAGAATGTCGAATAAGAAATTTATAAAAAAAATAAATAAAAATCGATCCCGTAACAATCGATCCACAAACAATCCAATTTAAATAAAAGGTAGTTTTCTCTCAGATGTCACTTGTGCAAACTGTGATGACAATGAGGCGTTTTTGCGGACAGATTAACTATTAAGTTACGGGACAAAACAAATTGAGTGAATATAATTTAGGAAAATACTTTTGACACATTGATGCTAATGTTGCGTTTTTTCGCACAAAAAAATCTTTATACATGTTAAATAACAATTGTCGGGAATGACGCATTAGACAAAATTAACCCAATTATTTCATCTGTTAAAAACATAATTTAGTTCACATAGTGTAGCTAATTTAGCGTTTTTTTTTAATAGAAATTAATTTGTATAAAAAAGTAAATAAAAAACAGGCAGGAATGGCCTATTCGACGATGTTGCCCCAAATTTTTTGAAAAATCACAAAAATTAAATTATTTGTAACTACACCCAGTGATGCTAATTTCGTATTTTTTGAAATGGAACTGAATGCTAATGAAAAATTATATCACAATGTGTTTCGATAATGTCGCAATTTGCCGATTGAAAAAATGTAATTATGAGGTCCTGTGATGCTAATTCATCGTTTTTCTAAATGGGAATTTTACTAATATAATAGTATGTTATAATACGTAATTTTAACAAAAATTATATGAGGTTCAGAAAATCGCTACAATTAATATTTTTGAACAAATCATTGCCGATATGTAATAAAACGAATTAAGAGGTTCGGTGATGCTAATTGTAATTCTATGTGAAAATATATTAAAAAGCGCCATTTCAAAATCGCTCAAATTGGTATTTTTGTGCCAAATAAAAAAATGAGAGTTTTAATTAATAACTTTAATGTAATTTCTTATATTTCATGTATGCTCTTGGGACAATCAAGAATGGTTGAGGTAGGGTTATTGGAAAAATAATCAAAATTATTTGATTTTTTACTGACATTGGCGTGTTTTGGGCAGATTTTTATGAGGTTATTAAAATAGGAGACAGCAAAAATATGCCAATGTTGCATAATAATACAAATTTAGCCATTTTTTATTCATAATAAAAACATTAAATTTTGGAACTTTGTTGTTGTAATAGTATTTTTTTTTCATAATCCAAATCCATACTAGAACGCTAAGAAAGCCGATTTACTTACAATGCATCTTAAAAGTCAGAAATTTTCTATACATCAAGCTTCTGCATAAAATAATTCTTCTCATATGTTCCCAAAATGTAATCATTGCCTCAGTTTTGAGATTCTAGACTATGACCTAGATTAAAAAAAAACGCTAAATTGGCATACTGTTTTTTTAAATGGGTCTATTTTTCCAAAAATCTTATTTTTTCATAATTCAAATTCATACTAAAACGCCAATTTATTTAAAAAACGCTAAATTTGCTCATTGTTATGATTTTTGTTGTGAAATGGCATTCTTGCCATTTTCTCTTCAGTTGTCAAATGAGACATTCCTTATTGATTGCAAATTAGCGGAGTTTTACAGTTTGAAAAGCACAAATGATTAGAGTGTAAAACACACAAATGCAATTGGCGCCAAATTCTTGACATGTGAAATGTCAGTGTTGCCATATGACAAAAACAAAGGCTGTTAACACAGCCACAACGCCGTTAAAATCAAATAACCGCAATTTAATGTTTTTGAAAGAGGTAGAGAGAGAGAAATGGAAGTGACAAAATGTACATTTGACAAACGACATTGGCGCCAAATTATTGACGTTATACCATTGTTGCCATATGAAAGAAAGCAAAGGCTGTTAATAAAGCATCATAACGCCGTTAAAATACAATTGCGGTGATTTTAATGTTTTGAAGGGACAAACAATGGAGAGAAGAAAGTATAGAAGGTGTCATTGGAAATTGGCGCCAAATTGTTGACATAATGTCATTGTTGCCATATGTTTAAACCAAAGGCTGTAAACACATAATCACAACGCCGTTAAAATTAAATTAACGCAATTTTAATAGTGGACAGCTTTGTATTTCTTTTGCAAATTCTAAAGGATGATTATTTTTTATAATTATAATTCGTTTTTTTTAAGTTTTTTCTATTATTTATTAATCATTTTTCTTTTGTTTCTTACAGTTTCCTCATGCAAAGAACGTTGGCGAAATATACGCACCTCCTATGCCCGTTCGATAAACGTGAATAAAGTACCTGCCAGTGCGAACCGCACTAAACCCTATTATTTGCATGAAGAATTACAATTTTTGTCACGGCACATTACACCTGGTATACCTGTCTCGAGGCGCTCCGTCTCCAACTCCTATCACACATCACCGCGCAGCGAAAAAGGCGAACACATCGAAGTGGCTTTGGGAGAAGAATCTATCGATAGTTATGCTGCTGCCATGATGGATTATGAAGATAAATCACAGGATCGTGAAGAACGTAGCAATAGTGTTACTAGTGAATCGTCGACGAAAAAGACGACGACGGAAAATGATGCAGAACCGGAGGTGTCCATTGTTGAGGCTAATAGTCAACAACAGCAGCAGTCGCATATGGAAGAAAGGGCCACCTCAACAACGGCCCCGGTTAGTGGTGATGAATTTGTTCCCCCACCCATGGTACAAATTGAAGAGGATCATTTGGATATGACACAGGAAGAGAAACGGGATTCCATTAATTTTGCCTGTGCCCCACCTAAGAAACGTTTGAGGGTTGCCAATAGTGCTTATGGTATTGATAACTACTCATATCCAGATGTTAAGGTGAGAATGAAATCTGATTTTTATTTCGTTTTTATAAACTCTACCATAATAAGGAGGTACTGGATGTATCTTCTAAACGAAGGGTCTGTAATTTGTCATCTCTAGATTCTTAAAGGCTGGAAAACTTCTTCAAAAAATATTGTCATGTTTTCATATAAAGATCTCCAACGATTTTAGATATTTTTTAAGGTCCAATTTATGGTAGAGGTTATAAAAAAGTGTTGGCTTGACCTGAACTTTACGATTTTTCTTATTTCATGAATTTTTATTAATCTATTTTCTTCCTCCCCATTCCAGCCCGTTGAAATTGTACCTCCACACGACTATGACAACATTTTCTTGCAAGGCCTCCTCCCCGAAATGAAAGCCATGGATTTTCGACAAAAAATCCTATTCAAACGTCGCATCTATGAGGTACTCTCCGAGATTTTTGATAACTCCTCCAGCCAGGCAACATCGACAACGAATTCCCAACACCATCACCACCACCAACAACACTTCTCCACAAATACCTCACCCATAGCCATGGTAAATTCATCAGATTTAAATATGCTGCGTCGTCTAAATCATCTGCTACAGGATCCATCAGCCTCCACAAGCACCACCGCCAACAACAGCACATTACAAACACCAGCACCTCTAACACCGCGCAGTGTAAATATTAGCAATGGTGTCTTAGCTGCCTCACCCAATACACCAACAACAGTGCCGATTGCAAAGATAGGTGCCACCACACGATCCTCGGCAGCCAATGTAACAAGATTACGTATGGTCAGTAGTGGTAATGGTGTGTTGGTGGGACCACCAGCGGCCGTTAAAGAAGAACCCGACACCAATTGAGGTTATGTTATATTACAACCTATATATAGATTATAGAAGTTTAATATGAGAAATTGTTTAATATTATTATAATAATAGTTATAGTAAATTTTTATTTTGTATGTATGTGTCAGTGAGTGTAAATGTCTGTCTGCCTGTCTCTCTTTAGTATGAATTTTCGAATGTAAATATTTAGGTATATATACTATATGTAAAATGTGTAGTTTGTAAGTTAAAATTCACACATGTATATTTGGAAGAGATTATCTATATAACATTTTTTTAAAAATAGTCAGAATTGGTATTTTAAAAATTAAATTTTGGAAATTTTTTTAAATTAAAAAGAACAAATTTTTATTATTCTAAAATTTCTTTGTGTATGTTCTCTCTATGTAGTTTAAAATATATTTAGTATGTATATTCTTAAATCAATACATCTACAGTCATTAGTTTTGTAATGATTTTTAAATACTAATAAAAATTGAAAGAGAAAAATTACTTAATATAAGAAAAAAAAACTTTAAAACTGATCGATTTTGTTTCTTAAGGTTGATTAGCTATAGTATAGTAGACCAAAGGGTCGGCTACACCCTTCAAAATATCAAAAATTCTGCGAAAAAACGTAAAAATATTTTTAAAAAATCCACGAAGTATAGACCTTGAACAAATATTTAAAAAAAATCCAAAGAATAGACCTTGAAAAAATATTTTTAAAAAATCCACGCCTTCAAAGAATAGACCTTGAAAAAATATTTTTAAAAAATCCACGCCTTCAAAGAATAGACCTTGAAAAAATATTTTTAAAAAATCGACGCCTTCGAAGAATAGACCTTGAAAAAAATATTTTTAAAAAAATCCACGCCTTCAAAGAATAGACCTTGAAATAATATTTTTAAAAAATCCACGCCTTTGAAAAATAGACCTTGAAAAACTTATTTTTAAAAAATCCACGACTTCGAAGAATAGACCTTTAAAGAAATATTTTTAAAAAATCCACGCCTTCGAAGTATAGACCTTGAAAAAATATTTTTAAAAAATCCACGCCTTCAAAGAATAGACCTTGAAAAAATATTTTTAAAAAACCACGCCTTCAAAAGAATAGACCTTGAAAAAATATTTTTAAAAAATCCACGCCTTCAAAGAATAGACCTTGAAAAAATATTTTTAAAAAATCCACGCCTTCGAAGAATAGACCTTGAAAAAATATTTTTAAAAAATCCACACCTTCGAAGAATGGAGCTTGAAAAAATATTTTAAAAAAATCCACGCCTTCGAAGTATAGACCTTGAAAAAATATTTAAAAAAAATCCACGCCTTCGAAGTATAGAGCTTGAAAAATATTTTTAAAAAATCCACGCCTTCAAAGTATAGACCTTGAAAAAATATTTATAAAAAATCCACGCCTTTGAATAGACCTTAAAAAATATTTTTAAAAAATCCACGCCTTTGAATAGACCTTAAAAAATATTTTTAAAAAATCCACGCATTAAAAGAATAGACCTTGAAAAAATATTTTTAAAAAATCCACGCCTTAAAAGAATAGACCTTTGAAAAGATATTTTTAAAAAAATCCACGCCTTCGAAGAATAGACCTTGAAAAAATATTTTTAAAAAATCGACGCCTTCGAAGAATAGACCTTGAAAAAATATTTTTAAAAAATCCACGCCTTTGAATATACCTTAAAAATCCACGCCTTTGGTAATCTTTGATTTTTTTACCGATTTTTTTTATCGAAATCATTTTCTCCCTCATTGGCAACCCTTCGAATTTTTCTTCCCCTTTATAGCACGTGAATGATGATTATTTCCCTTCTCTGCAAAATACAACTCTGTTCTATGCCACGATGACAAGATCAAATGTTTGGGAACATAACAGAATCAGGAAAAATAAACAAGCAAACAAAGAGAAATAATGAGAATTCACCACCTTTAAAACGTTTTAATGCAGGCATGCTCACCCATATACGCTACCGTAACTGAGGGTCGATGGGTAAACACATGTTCTCTTTCTTTCTCTTAACGTCAGTCGTGTTTAATGGTGGATTCTCAGTTACGCTCGCACACACTTGTTTTCAATTTATTTTTGCCCAACACCATTTTAATGAGAGGGGGAGAAAAGAGTAGAGGCAGAGAGAGCTCCCCAAAGACGTTGCTGTAGAAAACGGTACGGGTAAGTGGGGAGAGAGAGAGCAAAAAATAAAAAGGAATATTAAAAAAATTATAAGCAACAGTTCAATGATAATTAAGGCGAAATAAATTAACATACATAGATATGTAGGTTTGTATCGTTGTGTGTAGCAAAGTGGATAGATACTTAATCACACACACGCACACACAAATATTCACCACAAGAGGCAAAGCCAATTTTAATTTCAATGAAAATCTCAAAGAAAAAATGTTACATAAATGATAAAAAAAACTATACATTGAAATTGAAAAAAAACGGCGAGGAGTTGAGAGAATTCATACAAATTTCAATTAAATTTTATAAAGGAATTCCATTTAACGAAACTTTAAATTTTTCTTTAAATTACATCCCCAACATCCCACATATTTTTCTTTTATTTTAATATTAAAATTCTAAGTTTTCCTTTTAAAAAGGTTTTTTTTTTATTAATTTTGTGCTTCATTACTTCGTGTTCATGTCTGCCCATGCCCATTACATTGTATCTGTGTGCTTATTCTCGTATGTATGGCTGTATGTATGCCAGTATGTAACATCACAAAATTGTGAAATAAATACAACAACTACAAAATTAAATAAACTTGATCACATTTGGCTCTGCTTGGCTTTTTCCCCCAACTTTGCTCAACTGTTCTCTCTCTCTCTCCCTCACTGTTTTCTCATTGTATTTCTGGTTCTTTTCTCCATGCCAGCACACATCTACCAACCAATTCAACACATATCTGTTGCTGAATGATAATGAGACTCTCTCTCAATATGGGAGATAGAGAAGGTGAGTGTGCGAGAGACAGAGAGCGGCCCTCCGTGAGATAGAAATCATGAGAGTTGAGTTAATAACTCGTCATGTTGTTATTTTTTCTATGACGGAATTTCCAACGGCAGTGAGACTTGCCAATGTAGTACATAACAACACAAACACGCACACACACAGCAACATGGCTGTGTGTGAGTTGTTGGGTTTCGTTGTTGTTGCTGCTGTTTCTTACTTGAATGACCAACAATCGAATGATACATTTCACATTTCATCAACAGTATTTTTATTTCATTTTTTGATAAAACAGAACCGAGAAATATCGGAGAACGATATTAAAAGAGACGAAGAAATAAACGTTTTTAATATCTCAGCCATTGAATTTTGGTCACAAAACAAAAAAAAAAATGTTGATATATCTCCAACAACAAAATAGGTTGCTTTGTTGCTGTTGCTGCTGCTAGCTGAGGGGGGAAATCATAAGCGTAAGTGGTGAAGAGATAGATACTTGGTATTCCCTCCTATCTCCCTCTCAATATCTGTGTGTTGGTTGGATGTGCGACCGACCACATATTGTGGGGTCTTGCATATGATGGCAGGGATGGAAAGATGGAATTGAAATTAATATAAAAAATACAAAATCATTGAAAAAATAAAAATATAATAAAATTTAAAATTAAATTAATAAAAAATATAAAAATAAATTAATAAAAAATATAAAAATAAATTAGGAAATTTATAATTAAAAAATAGAATAATAAATAAATTAAAAAATAAAATCAAATAATAAATTCATATATATTATAACGAATAGGGAATGTAAAAAACCATAAATAAATAAATTAATTAAACAATATAATAAAACATGTGAAATTAAAATATAATAATAAAAAATATATGAGAATAAAAATATAGGGGGTACCCTTATATGGAGGCTTTCCGAAAAAAATAATCTATATTCACAATTTTTTGTGGGGAGATTTGGTACCTATTATGAACTCAAATACTAAATTACAGCCAATTCGATGGAAAAATATGATTGGGGGGTACCCTTATATGGGAGGTATCCCTAAATATGGATCGATATATCCCATCTTCGAACCTGCCTGCAGACAAAAGGCAAACCTATGCAAATTTTCAGCACCATATCTCAATTCCTTCAGAAGATTTCAGACGGACGGACATGGATAGATCGTCTTAGAATTTTACCCTGCTCAAGAATGAATATTCGGATATGAATATTTCGATGAGTTACAAACGGAATGACAAAATGAATATACCCTCTATACTATGGTGGAGGGTATAAAAATAAAAATTCATAAAATATAATTCTTTTTCAGAAAATTTCATTGAAATCTCTTTGAAAAAACGTGCATGAAACTATTTTTAAGCCAAAATATTAAAGAAATATAAAGTAGTGAAGTGAATCGATTCTAACAAATTTTGATAGGTTTCGTCCTAGGATCAATTTATTAAATTCATTACAAAAATAGTTGAAGTACAGGATTTTCTAATTAGAGGTGATTATTTTAATATTAAACAAATGATTTTAGATAAAAGGTCGGATTTTTATTTCATAATAAAAATGAAGCTGTGCCGTTAATAGTGGAAAAAAGACCGAGCTCGCTTACAGTATCATATCCTTTTCAAGAAATTGTGCATGTTCTGGATGGTCTCGCAAATTGTATCTTTGAAGCTTTAAATCGACGTAGACTGTAAGATGGTAAATCACAAGATCTCGGTGGCCAGCTGTGATAATCTTTTTGAGAGATCAATGATTTTTTTCTTGCATCTAAGTCAGATTTGGCCCTCGACCACACCAATCATCTTTGGATAGGTTAAGATCATAGACCAATACATTGACGATTGGATGAACCCTTTGAGTTCTCCATAACTCTTAAGACCCGATTCTTTACACGCTGACTACGGTTGTGAAATTTTCAATTACAATGACTGAATTTGAATGTATGAATCTGAACATTGGGGGCTTCAGCAGCAATAATATTAGAAGTTGTTCTTGAGCGACATTCACAACTATGTTGTCAGGGTATTATAGCTTTGTGCAGCACTAAAAATTTGTAACGTCGCGAAATATTGGTTATAGATCCACCTTTAAGTATACCGATCGTCATATCTCGACTAGCTGATCTAGACATGTGTGTCCTCCCGTCCGTCTGTCCATTATAATTTGTAAACACGATACAGGCTACAGTTATGGACCAATCTTCACAAAATTTGGCATCTAGGATGGGTTCTGGCCAATGAAGACCCCAATTGTAATGAAGACTCCCTACAAGAGGATTGGTTGGCCTTTAAACTGAAACCAATTATATTGTCGTATGTTTTCGGATGTGGGAGTTAAACTTAAATATTTATGCTTACGTATTCAGATTTTATTCAGATATTATTTAGTAACCCATTAACATTAGATAGCAGAAAAATACCACTGATTGCTTTAAATTTTCCAAGAGTTTCCAGTTATGGTCAAGGACAACGCCTATAATTTTCGGTGATGATCAGATAATAATATTGGGATGAAGTGGACCGTAAACTTAATTTTAGGCCATATTGAAAGCCGAACATTACAACACAACCCACACTGAAGGGAGTCTGGACAAGTAATTAGAAGGCTTGTACTGACTTACTTACTTAGCTGGCTTGTTACAGAACGGTTGTTCCATAAGCAGAGCTTAAAACAGATTTCGAAGCGTGTGCATCTCCTCCAATTGGAGAGACCACGTTCCAAGATGTTGTTTGGTTGTACTGAATATTAGTAATATTTGTTGACCTCTAGGGGTCAAGAGGGTGCAAATATTGTCCAAGCTCAGAATATAGAACCACAGAAAGTTAGATTTTCGTTTAAGTTGTGTAGGGTATTATATGATCGGCCCCGTCCGACTATACTGCTCCGCTCACAGGTTTCAAAATTAGAAAGGAAAAAAGGCCTTTAACGTTGATTTTTGTTCGAAAGTAGGTCAACTTTTTTCTTTAATAGTTTATCAATAAATTCTTAGAGATTTTTCTTCTACACTGATTTTATAATCGAACTAGAATTGCACTATTTTAACTGAGTCCATAAATATATAATTTTAATAATAATTCTTAAACATTTTCCCTATAACCACCTGCAAATAATTCCTATTTTAACATTTTCTACGTTTCAATTACAAATTAAATTAATTTTCATAACTAACAATTTTTCATAACAACGAATATGATCAACTTAATTGCTTTCAATTTACCCAATAAATCTTCAATCTTTACTAAACATCCATCCCTGGATGATAGTAACAGCCAGCTATATGCTGAGCATAACAATTCAATTGTGAGCACACCACACAGAAAATATCTTCTTGTTGATGACTATTCGTATTGTGAGCGAGCGAGTGGGGACATTTGTTGATATTCATTCGTACAATGGAGACGAGAGCGAGAGTCAGTGTGCCAGTGTGCTAATGATTACTCTCTCATTCACCGTTCACTTGCTTGCTCACTCACCAGTTGCTCTCCACAGAGGTGAGCTTACATTTGTTGTTGTTGCTGCTACTATTGTTAGTTGTGCTTGTGTTTGCATTTGTTGTTTGTCTTGTTGTTGTTGTTATTGGTGCTGCTGCTGTTGTGCGTTTGATTTGTGATTTTTTCTTTCGTGTGTTTTTCATTAATGGACAACACAAAAACAACTTCGATTTTTAGTTAATTCTTGGCTCTCGCATGGAGTAGAAGTGTTGATTTGGTTACGTCTCGTGGTTTGTCTTCGTCATCGTCTTATTGTGTGTGATTATCGCCCCGACGCTGTTTTTTACAGACAATTGTGGTACTCATTTGTGTGCTCGCTCATTGAATATCTTCGTGTGGCTGGCTGTCTGGCAGTTTGGCTGCCTAGTTTAGTTTAGCAACGTTTGATGTGGAGGACATGGTGACAATACTGATGATGATGTGTTGTTGTTGTTTTTGTTCTTATTATGTGTGTGGATCACTGAAAGTCTATTAACTGCATATTGTTGTTGGCATTATTATTAGTGTGAATAGATTTTCTTGTTGTTGCTATTAATTTGTGTGTGATTAATTTTCGTTTATTGGTGTTAAAGAAAATTAAGACAAAGTAGAAATAAAAAAGAAACAAAACAAGAGCAAAAGTAGGCAAACTACAACAACAATAACCAAGAAAAATCATGATGATCATCATTTGCTTACTCTGAGTAAATATTGTGTGTGAGAGCGAGAGCGCGCGGCAGAGTGTGAGAGGGGAAAACTGTAATTCAGTCACTGACTGACTTGTTGCTTTTTTTTCAATTTTGTGTTGTGTCAGTGGTGGAGCTAAGCTCTGGAGAGCAATTCCCCCACAAGTAACTTATCGACAGCAGCAATAGCAACAACAAGAACAACGGTAAATTATCCGTAAATAATAAACGAAGAAGAGGAAGAGTAGTACAGTGCAATTGTATCTTAAATATAAATAAAACCTCTCAGAGTGTGTTTAACGGTGTTAGCTGACGAATGGATATTTTATTGCCCGCCGATGCCGATGCTTAAATCGAACGAAGATGATGGTAAAGCAGAAATAAAATAATAACAATAAATGCATGGAGAATATATAAAAAAAGGAATAAAGAAACAAAAAAACGTGATTTTATAAACAAAATAAAAGAAACGAAAAATAATAGTGAAATAAAAAACACGTGTGATAAAAGAAAATAAATTAAAACAAACAAAAAAAATTACAACAAAATAACACAACAAAAAGAGTAAACAAAATACAAAAGAACAAAAATCAAAGCCGCTGTGATAACAATAACAACGAAAATAAAATGCCGCCAAAAAAAGATCCAAACGCCCACAACAACAACAGCGATACTACATCGACAGAGAGCCCAACAAGTGCTTCGTCGTCGTCCAACAACAACACCAACAATTCTGGTACTACTGTTGTTCTGCCCGTAATGGTTGAATCGCCGGCAGCCGAACAACGTACCGTCGCCTTTCATGCCAATGCAAAATTATGCCGGCTGGTACGCAAATGCCCCTGGATGTACGATCGTAATCACCACAACTATGCCAAGAAACATATTTTGGATAAGTCATGGTGTAAAATTGCCCGAGAATGTAATGATTCGGGTAAGTTGCCTGCGATTTTTGAGGTGAAATAAATGTGGTAACTCTATTATTGTGGCAGTGTCACTTGAATGGAATAATGGGAGACAAATTATCTCCTTTTTGTTGAGTTTGTGTGTGTGTGCAGACGAGAAATCCCAAGCTTTAAGAGAAATGGAATCAAGAGAAAAATATTTGGATCTGTTGCTGGTTCAGTAGTGTTGCCAATTTGTGGGCTATTTGCTTTTTTTTATTAATGTTTTTTTTTTGGTCAGAATCGGATCGGAAACCCCTTACTGGCCAATAGTCGAATTTCTGACTTTTGACCAGTAAAATTTTCCACTTTTTCCCGTTTTATACTCGAACCCATGGGATTTTTCAGGAGACAACGAAATATGAGAACCGATATTGATCATTTTTGGTTGTGAGATTTGGCATCCAATTTAAATCCAAAAAAAAAGATGCAGCCAATATCAAATATTTGAGGGTTCAGTTATATGGGGACTAACCCGAAACTTGAGTCGAAAATAAAAAAAGAGCCAAAGTTGAGGGTACATTCAGAACCCCAAATACCAAATTATAACCAATTCTCATGAAAATCTTGTCCAACAACCCAAAAATATCGAATATTTGGGGGTACCGTTATATGGGGACTAACCCGAAACATGAGTCAATATTAATCATTTTTAGTCGGGACAAATCGTGTCCAACAAACCCAGATTATCGAATATCGTGTCCAAACAAACCCAGAATATCGAATATTAGGGCGTACCGTTATATGGGTGCTACCCTTAAACTTGAGTCAATATTAATCACCCAAATACGAAATTTCAGCCAATTCGCATGAAAATCGTGCCCAACAACCCGGAAAATATCGAATATTAGGGAGTATCGTTGTATGGGGGCTACCCCGAAACTAGTGCCAATATTAATAATTTTTAGCATAGAGGTTCACTATACATTAAGAACCCATAATACCAACTAATTCGGATAAAAATTGTGCTCTACATCCCTATAAAAATCGCATATTAGGGGAAAACCATATATAAAGGCTACCCTGAAACTAGAGCCAATATTTATATTTTTTTAGACGAAAGATTGGCAACGTGGATCGATGTATTTTTACTACTAAACAATTGTAATTGCATCAGACCGACATTAGTCGATTTTCGGATATATTTTTGAAATATAGTCGATTTTTTAAAAATTGGAGTCAGGGTATTTTCTTGATTTAAAAAAAAATGTTGATTTCCATTTCTAAATAGTAAGCTTCATTGAAAAATTAGTCGGATTTTGTTCAATTTTTCGTTTATAATATATTTTATATTTGGTCAATTAAAAAAAAAATGGTCGGGTTTTTTTGTCGATTTACGAGCTATTTTTTGCAATCAATAAAAAATAATTTAAAAAATGATCGATTTTTAAAAAATGCCAGTTTTTGGTCGATTTCATGAATTTTATTTTTTGGTATTTATTGAAAAAAATTTGGTCGATTTGTGATGATCGAGTTTTAGTCGATTTACGAGATTTTTTCGTTTTTTTTATTAAAATTTGAATTTAGTCGGATTTTGGATATATTTTATATTTGGCCAATTTAAAAGAAAATTGGTCGATTTGGAAAAAAAATTGTTTTTATATTTGACCAATTTAAAAAAATGGTCGATTAGCAAAAAAAAAAAAAAAAAAAAGAGTTTTAGTCCATTTACGATTTTTTTTGGTTTTTAATTAAATTTGAATTTGGTCGGATTTTGTAGTAAGTAGTAGTTTTTTCAATAAATGGAGTCGGTTTACAGATATCCATCCATAAATCATTCAACTGCGTTTTATTTTACAATTTTCTCTGTTTTCCTTTCTTTCTCGTTTATCATATTTTGTTTTCTTTCATTACACTTCCATTTTCCATTAAGCGTTATTTATTTCAAGACAATGATATTCATTCGTTTTTCCTCTTCGTGATTTCATTAGCTTTTGTCCTTGTCCCTTCTCTCACTATCATTCGCCTTTTATATGTCAATCTTTTCTATTTCTTCATTACCTCAAATTTCTTCATCATCTCATTGTCAGTTTCTTTTGTTCGTGTACTTCTCTACAGTTTCGTTATACCAAGTCTGTCGTGAATTGTGATAATGATTCATTGTTGGTCGTTCGTTTGGTTCGTAGTGATTGGCCTCTATTTGCAGTGTTGCCAGTTTAGGGGATTTATCCCCAAACTGGGGATTTTTTTCTGAAAATGGGGATTAGTTTTTTGGTTTGGGGATCTGGGGATTTTATGGGGATTAAAATTTGAAAGGTTGGTGCAAAATATTTTACCATAACTAAAAAGAGTGATGGCAATTCTGGACAATGTCTCTATTTTCTAACACTAACCAACGATAACGTCGAACAATTTTGGACTGGCAAGTCTATGTGTTTGTTTTTGGCAACTATTGCCATAGTATGCAAATGTTGGTAATGATGGCATCAAAAATTACAACAACTGTCTTGTAAACACATATACTAAGACAGGTTTTTGTTTATGATGGCAACAATTCAAAAATAAATGATCATAGTAACACATGCATTTGTTTGGTCCAATTCATAGAAACACTTCGGCTGACGCAATTATAGTAAAATTATATTTAATCGTTTACAATGGCTGCAAAAGTTGGTCACTGCACAAAAAAGCATAATATAGCATGGGAACGTGAAAGTTGGGCTCAAGGTATGCAATTTGAGAATATTTGTTTTCTATTGGTAAACGAATTTGTTTTTAGGATGGTTGAAATCCATTGCTTCGGCACCAGAACCATTTCAAATAACCAGCAATTCTGCAAATAATTCTTGGTGTGTGGCATGCAAAAGTTCACTAAAATCTCAAAAGAAGGATCTGAAGAGGCATAGTGAATCAAACAAACATAAACAGAATTTTGATTCACTTTATGCAAGAAATACATTAGATAACTATGGTAATTTGTAATATTTATAATTTACGCATAACTTTTAATAATGCTCGATATAAATACATATTTATTACAGGTGTTGTTCCTGAGACAAATGACTCTAGAATTATTGATATAAAATTATCAATTTTTACAGCCAAGCATGCTTCTATACTGTCTGTTGACCATTTAACAAACATGCTCAAATCTCTTTCAATTAAGGAATTTGAAAAATTGAGACTGCATCGCACAAAATGTAGTGCTATTATAAAATATGTCATAGCTCCCACATTACTTGCTGAACTTGTAAACGATATTGGTGATTCTAAATACTCCTTGATAGTTGACGAATCAACAGACATATCAAGACACAAATGGATGAGCCTTTGCGTCCGTTATTTAAGTAAAGGTAAACGGACAATATTAACAGAATTCTTGGGATTATTTCTTGTGGAGGAGGCAACAGCAGAAAAACTTTTCGAAGGTTTAAATGGATATTTGAAGAAGGTAGGACTGAAATCAGATAATATACTAGCCATTGGCACAGACGGTGCCAACAATTTATGCGGTAAACATAAAAGTTTATACACCCTATTACAAAATGATAATCCGCACCTAATTCTTATAAAGTGTTCATGCCACTCTTTACATTTATGCTGTTCCGAGGCTTCTAAAGAATTTCCACCAGATGTCGAATTTCTAATAAGAGAAGTATATAATTACTTTAGCAACAGTCCTCTAAGGATATTAAAATATAAACGTGCATTTGATTTAATAAATTCGGGCTTTGACGCAATCAAATTTAAAAAGCTCGTCCAAATATCTGCGACCAGGTGGTTGTCCTATGGTTTGGCTGTTAAAAGAGTGCTGGAGCAGTGGATTGAACTTAAATATCATTTTTCAATTATTTCCACAGCTGATTCTGAGAAAACAGCACAAATTATTTACAACTTAATGTGCAATGATGAAATTAGGCTATACTTGATTTTCATGAATCCTATTTTAAATGAAATGAATAGTCTAAACCTATCTTTTCAAAGCGACAAAATGGATGCTGGAACTATTTATGACAAATTGTTTATAAGTCTACTATCGTTAGCAACTAGAATTTTAAAACCATCAATAATTTCTGACATAAAAGATGAAGAAGATATTCTGAAAATAATCGAAGTCATGGAAAATGATTCTTCATATCTCCCGATACAATCTATGGACTTGGGATATGATTTTGAGGAGGAAATAAAATCGCAATCTGAGTCTTTATCGCTAAAAATTAAAACTACATGTTTTAAGTATTTACAAAATTTGCTGTTACAAATGTTAAAACGCTTTCCACCCAACATTAGCTTTTTCAAAATGTATAAACAGTTTTCACCACAAGTATGTTGTAATTCAGTTGGACAACCAAACTTTAGTTGTATTTTGAAAATCGTACTGCCCAAATTAAAGGTAGATGCTCCTAAGGATGTATATGAATCTCAATGAAGAAAAATGCCATTTGTGAAATGGAGGGAATTGTTTGGAGATGATGTTTCAATCAGTTTGTGTTCTTTTTGGACAAAAGTTTATTTATATCAGGATGCTGCTGAGTCAAGACCTTTTAAAGAACTTGCAGAACTAGTACTAAATATGCTTTGTGTTCCAACAAGTAATGCTTGCGTAGAACGCGTTTTTTCCATTATGAATACGATAAAATCACAGCTTCGAAATAAAATTCAATATGAATTATTAGAAGCCCTTTTAAGAATTAACTCAATATTTAAAAAATAATTCAATGTGCTGTGAAAGTTTTAATCCTCCTCCACAAATGCTAAAACTTTTTAACACTAAAAATATGTATAGAACAACTCATGATGTTAGTGAGTCGGAAGACTTTGAATCTGAGCTTTTTGATATAATAAGTATCATTGACAATTAAAAAATTTAATCTATCTTAATTTTTTGTAAATTTCTATATATATATACTAAGACTTTTTATAAACATACTTCTAAATATGTACAAATTAATATAAAAATTACAATAAAATGAATTGAATTCTTAAACAATTATAACAAAACAATTGAAATATATAGGGGATTTTTTTGGGGATGATAAATAAAATTTGGGGATTTTTGGGGATAACATATCTTGATTTGGGGATTTCAGTTAAAAAAAAACTGGCAACGCTGTCTATTTGAGATATTGCCGAATGTTTGGTTCTCTCCAATGAGGAGAAATAGTGTGTGTGTGTTGAGTTGAGAGAGAGGGAGAGTCGAACGTAGAAACAGGTTCGATTAATTTTTTCTTCGTGCAAACGATAACACGATGTTTGCCAGTTGCTGCATTGAAGATGATGAGGACGTATGAGAGGGGGGATTTCTTGCCCAAAGGCTGAAAGAGAAAATTTACAGAGGAAGAGTAGTTGAGTGTCTCTTATTTATCAATGCTCTTTGTTTTTGTATTCAAGATAATCTGAAATGGTAAGAATGTAATTAGTGAAATGTTATGGTACGGAACGTATTGTAACGTAAGTGGATATAAATCATAACAGGGTAATAGAGGAAGCCATATAATGGCCCTGGAGTGTAAGGAGAGGTTTTTATGTGCAGAATATCTTTATGGGAACACATTTCGGTTAAATCCAAAGTTGTTGTTTTGCAAATATTTATTTCTTCTATTAATAGAATACCTAACTAAGCTCATCTCTTCATCGAAGAACTTCTAGAGGTCTTCTATAAATAGAAGACCCTCATGACATCCTCTATAAATATGACACCTTGTGCAGGTCTTTTATACATAGGATGCTATCTAGTGGTCTTTTATTCGTAGAATACCCTTTTGTGGTCCTCTATAAAGACCACCTAGAGGTTTTCTATAAATAAACGTTGCCCTGGAGGTCTTCTATACATAAAATACACTTTGCAGATCTTCTACTCATAGAAGACCCTCTGAAGATCTTTTATAAATAGAAGGTCCTCAGGAGATGCTCTACGCACATGAGACTCTCTGTAGGTCCTCTATACATAGAATACCCTCAGGAGGTCCTCTATACATTTTACAATCTCTTGAGTTCTTCTATACATAGAAGACCCGCTGGAAGTCTTCTATACATAGAAGACCCTCTAGAGGTCTTCTACACATAGAAGACCCGCTGGAAGTCTTCCATACATAGAAGACCCTCTAGAGGTCTTCTACACATAGAATACCCTTTAGAGGTCTTCCATACATAGAAGACCCTCTGGAGGTCTTCTGTACATATAAGAGCCTCTGGAGATCTTCTATACATATAAGAGTCTCTGGAGATCTTCTATACACAAAAGACACTCTGGTGGTCTTCTATACATAGAAGAGCCTCTGGAGGTCTTCTATACATATAAGGCTTTCTGGAGATATTCTATACATATGAGACCCTCTAGAGTTTTTCTATACGTAGATCACCCTCTAGAAGTCTTCTATAAATAGAAGTCCTTCTAGAGGTCTTCTATACATAGAAGACCCTCTGGAGGACTTCTATACATATGAGACCCTCTGGATATCTTCTATACATAGAAGACCCTCAGGAGGTCTTCCATACATATAAGACACTCTGGAGATCTTCTACACCTCTGGAGATTTTCTTTACATATAAGATCCACAGGAGGTCTTTTATACATAGAAGACCTTCTGCAGTTATTCTATACATATGAGACCCTCTGGAGATCTTCTATACATAGAAGACCCTCAGGACTTCTATACATATAAGGCTCTCTGGAGATCTTCTATACCTTCTGGAGTTATTATATACGTAGGAAATCCTCTGCAGGTTTTCCACAAATAGACGACTGTCTGGAGATCTTTTGTGGATAGAAGAACCTCTAGAGGTCTTCTATAAATAAATACTCTCTGCAGATCTTTTATAAAAAGGACAGCTTTTGAAGGCCTTTTAAAGAGAAGAAGATTTTCGGTAGGTTTTCTATGTATATATGACTTCCAGTAGGTCTTATATGTATAGAGGATCTCCAGAAGGACCCTCTGAAGTTCTTATACGCATACAAGGCCTTCGGGTGCTGTATCCGAAGTATTGTCTAGAAATCCTCCTTAATATAGAAGGCCCTTAGAAGGTATTCTATACATGGAAGACTGTCTGGAGATCTTTTGTGGATAGAAGAACCTCTAGAGGTCTTCTATAAATAAATACTCTCTGCAGATCTTTTATAAAAAGGACAGCTTTTGAAGGCCTTTTAAAGAGAAGAAGATTTTCAGGTTTTCTGTGTATATATGACTTCCAGTAGGTCTTATATGTATAGAGGATCTCCAGAAGGACCCTATTTCTTATACGCATACAAGGCCTTCGGGTGCTGTATCCGAAGTATTGTCTAGAAATCCTCCTTAATATAGAAGGCCCTTAGAAGGTATTCTATACATGGAAGACTGGATAAGTCTTCTCTATCCATGCGTATTCCAAATATTCCTTTAAAATACCCTTAATATGGAATTTATAGAAGTCGTTTTTGTGGGGACCCTCTTTAAAAGTTTTTTTTATTATTCAAAAATATTCAAATTTTGTCTCATAATTTTTAATTTTTTGTTTTCTCCTTCCAGTTGCTTCGTGCAAGGAACGTTGGCGTAATATTCGTGCAGCCTTTGCCCGTTCGATCAACATCTATAAGACACACAGTGGTCCGAATCGTATAAAACCCTATTATTTGCATAAAGAACTCTCGTTCTTGGTGAAACCCATGATGGAGGGTCGTGATCGTACCGAAGAGACACATGACATATCCGATGCGAATGGTATACAAAAAGAAGAATATACCGAAGGTGAAGAAGATGAGGAGGATGTCGATTTCGAAGATGATGATCAACAGCAAGATGTCGATGATGAAGATGCTGAGAATGATAATAATAGCATTGATATCAAATCGGCCTTCGAGGCTCTCAATCCGGATATTACCATACAAACAGAGGGGAAATTACATAAAACTCTGAAAGACTATCAGAATAGTCAGAAGCGGGAGCATTATAATGGAAATGATTTCGATAACAATTCGGGGATTTACGAAACCCATGGAGATTTCTCGACAAGTGATGCAGAACATGAGTTTAATGATGGTCGTTATGATGACACCATGTCACAGACAACGGAAAATGATCGTCGCATTATGACACCACATCAGGGTAATAATCCGCTGAAACGTCCAATGCAATTGGATACCGAGACCTATGAAATGAAACGTTTGAAATTTAATACAATTCCGGTGGGAACGAGTGAGGCGGATTTGCGTTTCCTGGAGGCCCTGCTGCCCGATATGGCTCTCATGAATACAAGGCAGAAAATTATTTTCAAAAGGAAGATTTATCAGACCTTGGAGGAGGTATTTGAAAATGTCAATGATTTTCCCAATATCAACAATGAGCAGCAGCAGCATACAAATATGACAACTACCACTCGATTAAGTGGCGGAGGGGGAGGAGTTGGCTTGGCATCATTTTCCTCTACTGCTAACATCATGAACAACAGTCACAATTTGAATAACAGCAACACCTCAACCACCACCACTACCATGCAGGGTGGTTCCCAGGTCAAGCAGACTGTGCTGACCGTCAACTCCTCCACGGCCCGGAATTTAATCAACAACATTGCCAATTTAAATGAAGCTGAACTGCAAAAGGTCAATGGCTTCCTGCAGTCCTCGCTGCGTAATGTTAACATCTCTGTCAATACCAACAATCAGAATAACAATAACACCAACAATTCGCTGAATTCTCACAATATAACAAATATCACCACCACGCGGTTGAGCAATGGCAACCCGGCCACCATTATACCGGCAAGTAGTGCTGCTGCACGCCTCCTACAATCGACACCGAAAATTACCATCACAAAGGTGACATGTCCACCACCGGCCTCACTGCGTAACATGACCATGGTGAATAAGGCAACCTCACCTAACACTGGTACCGTTTCGACGACTATACATCACACCCCAGCTGCACCCATTATGACATCTAATGTCCATTCAACCACCTCAACACCCGGTCAACTGAACAGTCAACAGCAGACGTTGCCAACTGTATCATCTGTCACGAGCATTAGTACCACCAATGGTACCACCACGGCCGCGTCATCCTCATCGTCCACGTCAGCAGCAGCCACCTCGGGATCATGGACACAAATAATGCCAATTGCTATTAAAGATGAAATTGAAGATGTGGATATCGATTGACCAAGACTGCAGGGAGGAGATGAAGACGAAGAAGAAGGAAGTGAAGAAGTTGCTGATGAAGAAGGAGAAACAGCAGAAACATTAGGCTCAGAGCCACCACGTATATTTGTTAAAAAGATAGGATATCTTAAGTGAGGGCCGAAAATAATGTAATTTAGAAAATTTAAATTTCTAGAAACCATAGCTAAGTAGGGGCCTTATATATTAAGAATCTGTATTTGTAAAATTCCGAACAAACAAATTCCTATGAGCTACTTCCTATGTTTAGATGACTTCTAAAAGATTGTCAAAATGTAGAAAATTCCCTAAATCTCAAGAATGTCTTCTCTCTATGAATATCTATTGAATGGACCCAAAAGGCTCTACATATAACATTCTCTATACCTGGAAACCCCTCTGGTTTAGTTATATTCGGACCTATAGAAATTTCTATATACATAAGACCTCTAAGAAGACATTTTATACATAGAAATTCTGTAAAAAGTCATTTGCCTAATGAATTCCCCCTGAAAAAGGTCTGTTGTGGGACTTGTTGATGAATTTTCTGTTGGAGATCTCAAGGAGGAACAGAGAAAATTTGACATAGAAACCCTACTGAAGGTCTTCTGTGCATAGAATCTTCTAGTTTCCTTTCTTGTAATACAGACCTTCTGGAAGTCTTGTAGATATGTCTTTTAATTAAACGACGATCTTTACGAAGTCTTGCCCCCATAGAAGTACTAAAAATGGAGTAGAATACCTTTCAATACCCAGAAAAACCTCTGGAGTCCTTCGTTTCTATGAAGACCTTCTGGAAATCTTGTAGAAAATCTCTTTTGACTAGAGGGTCTTCTAAGTCTCCGTATACAAAAAATAAGGTCTACAGATTTGTGTATGCCCATTCAACATCCAAATGCCCCTCATGGCATCGCAGCACCACACCATGGCCTCATGGTGTGGTGCTGGGAGGACCTCTGAATATAAAAAATAAAAAAAATTATTTTCTATACCAAAGGTATCTGACAAAATTCATATATCTAACTCGATTCCAATCTATATAGGATCTACGGCTCCGATTCTTTATAAAAAACCTCCTGATCGATCGATAATATCCAGAATTTTACTATATAAATATTCCTGTCTATAAAGAATCTCAAGCTTCAGAAGGTCAGATATTCTTTATAAAAATAGCATCTATTGTCGTATTCTATGTATAGAAAGCATTTATGTAGAAAAAGTTTCCAGAGGTGCCGCTGTGTAAAAACGATCTATGGGTCTCCAACTTGTAGAAAGCCTTTTGGAAGAACTTAATTTACTACCGTAGACCTCTTCAAAGTTTTGTCCTCACAGAAGATCAAAAAAATTACTGGTGTTAATAAAAATTGGGGTTTGAAGATCTATTGCAGGTCTCGTAGGACGTAAACCACAAAGAAATGATTTCTATTTCTAGAGGATTACAAGCAAAATATGTTCCATATACATAAGACCCATAAAAGAATATATAAGTGTTTCTAGCTGCAGAATATTTCAAGAAAAAAATCATTACTATGAGGAATCCCAGGTCTATGGAGGCTGAAATTTTGTAGAGAACCCCTTCCAAAGTGTTTTTTTTTTTGGTTTAGAAAACAGCTAGGAGACTTCCTATCCAGATGTAGATTTTTTCCTATAGGCATCTCTTATAAGGAATATGTTCTAGAAACCCAGTAGAACTGTTATTTATGATACCCCTGTAGAGAACTCTCCAATAGATCGTTTCTCTATATCAATAATGTCTCAAGGTTTTATATGAATCTTATGGGCAGTATCTAGGTATAGAAAAACTATCAAAGGCCTTTCATGTTCTGAACATCATATAAAGAAGATTTTCTAGGGCTTCAGTAGGGCTTCTATTTATGAGACCCTTGTAGAGAGGTCCCCAAAAAAATCGATCATCAATGTATAGATTGTCTCTAGATTTTATATGGATCTAAAGGGAATTTTAAACTATAGAAGAAATATCCAAAGTCATTAATGTTCAGATTTCCTCCACAATTTTTCAGAATTTTCTTCCACAATGAAAAAAAACGAATTTTTTCTATACAAAAAAAGAAAACCAGGACATCTTTAGATAAAAAAATATATAGAAAAATACGGTATTGTGTGTATGGAAGACTTTGAGAAGAGTTTCGCTGTGTAAAATGCCTTCGAAAAAAGGTTTCTAAAAATTTGCCTTTATATACAAAATACCTTTATAAGTTGTTATAAATTATTCAGACGTTTTAAGAAAACTTTGTTCTTTTCTGTTAATTTCTATTTTTTATATATAAATTTGTGTATTTTTATTGGCTTTAATGTTTATTAAAAAATAGTATACATCTTAAGCAAGAATGACTCTGGTAAATGAGATGTTTCATAATTTTTGTTTTAAATCTGTACCAACATTGACATATACCAGTTAATGATGGCTTTAACAGAAGTTTTTTATCCTCTAAATAAGTTAATTTTTAGTCCATGGCCTCAGAATATTTCCTCCTTTAAAAAGCTTTAATGAAGGAAAAATAAAAAAAAAAAAATCTTAACCAGACAATAATAAACCATACTGAACCTGAGAGGCAGATTTTATATAACTTGCCCTTCTGTGTCTAAAAATCTGCATGAATGTTTCATATCCTTATAACTCCAACAGACAATAAGTCTTATAACAAGCAGGGGATACAGATATCATGTAAAATTTCCTTCCATCTCCTCTAGATTAGGACTCAATATTTAAATAATTATGAGTTTTAAAATATAGATCATAAAACTAAATTTCTGCCTTTGAAGAAAATCTGCATGAATGTTTCACATTTCTACACAGCCTTACAACTCTTACAAAAGTAATTTTCATACAATCGACATTTTTTTATTTGTAATGTAATGCCTCAAGACCCCAATCCTCTCTCTTTCTAACTGTAATATTATTAAAAACCTTTTTTCTAAAAAAAGGATCTTCATTTTGTTTTCAAATAATTCGGCTTTATATTAAAATTGAAAATTTTTATTGTTTACATTTTACTTTAAAATGTATCTCTTTTAATTTTAATTTCCAATTTTTTAATTGCTTTAATTTCTTTGTGTTTTTAAAATTATATTTTTTTATTAATGTTTAAGTTTTATTATTAGTATATAAGTTTTAATTTTTATTATTATATTCATTTAAGTTTTATATATACACATAGTATTTAAGTTTTATTCTCATTACAATGTTTTATTGTAATTTGCTTCATTTTTATTGATTGTCCAAACCCCCTCCCCCCAAAAAACATGTGTTTTTTGTTAAGTACTTAATTTGTAAGTAAAATTATAATAATTATTATTAATTGATTTTTTTACTTTTTTATAAATATATTTTTTAATTATTATTTTTTCATTAAAATTTTTTGGTAATTAAGTATTTGTTGTAAAATTGTTTTATTAATAATTATTAAAAATATAAATATTTTTTTTTTTTAAAATAATGAAGATTTGTATTCATTTCTTTGATTTTGATGAGTTTTAATGTAATCAATGATGATTTTTGTGGGGGGTGCCTGTGGCCACACTAATCGTCGGATTGGACGGCGATTGAAATTACGGCTGTAATATGTGATGGCAGAGCATTCTCCATGAAATTCCAAAATCATATATAACATTGAGTAAAAGAATTATTTAAATATCATTTTTAATTTCTGAGATATGACCATTTTAAGTTTATCTTCATACCAAAAATATCCCTATTGCTGACTTCTAAGCTTAAAATATCCGTTAGATTTGTCTTTGTATCGTTACGCCATCAAAAGTTATGAAGAATCCCAGAAAACAGTAATTTTCCGGAAACGTGGCAACCCTGGCAAACAATCGATGATACAGTCGGATAGTGTATGTTCTAAGCTATTAATAGCCATTAGAATTTTGTGTGTAGCCTTAAGCATTCAAAAGTTATGAAGAATCTAAAATACCGAGGTTTCTCTAATCTGGCAACACTGGTTGTCAAGATTTGGTTTGGATAGTGTATGTTCTAAGCCATTAATAGCCATTAGAATTTTGTGTGTAGCCTTAAGCATTCAAAAGTTATGAAGAATCTAAAATATCGAGGTTTCTCTAATCTGGCAACACTGGTTGTCAAGATTTGGTTTGATTAAAGTATGAAAGTCAACATTCGAATCTTTCATTTGCCACAAGTTCCATCAAGAAATGTTGTTCCATTGCCGAGATATTACAATTTGAAAATAACTTTAATTCAAAAACACCTCTGCTGCTGGATTCTGTTTGCCTGATACCGAAAAACCGACTTCCCTTTGTAATTTGATTTTTAAAATTTAGCTAAAAAATTTCTACGACTGAAGTAGCAAGCAGAAAAATGTAGCATACTTTCCAGGGCAACAATGTCAACAACATTCATCGTCTGTGAGAAAATATTCGTGTGTTAGTTATTATAATTGTAGATGTATGGGTGGACATGCTGAGCCTCCCCACCACTCTCTACAACACCCCCCCTTAGCTGTAGAAACGTTAGCAAAACTTTAAGAAATTTTAAAAACATAAATTACAAGGGGAATTTATTTTTTGGTAACAGGTACCCAGAAGTCAGCAGCAGGGATATTTTTGGTATGAAGGGCAACTTCAAATGGCCATATCTCCGGAACTAAAAGTGATATTTGTGTAATTCTTTTACTCGATTTTAGATATGATTGTGGACTTTCATGGAGAATGGGTTTGGATGTTCTGCCACCACAGATTGTACCCATAATTTCAGTTAGTAGCTATTTAAACCTTACATTGCCGCACAAATGCTATCCAATGATGACTCAAATTACCGGTAACTCAATATACCACCTCATGGTGTATCGTATAGCCTATCCAAGGTTCTCCGTGGTTCACATGGTTCCTTTTGAGAATATGCATAGAATCACTTTCTATGTCGATTTATGCATGTCCGTCCGTTCGTCTGTCTGTCCATGTTAAATTGTAAACACAGTGCAGGTCGCATTTATTATTCGAATTGGATGAAATTTGGCACAGTTCATTCATTTGGCCCTATTGAAATTGGGAAAAATCGTTTCAGATTTCAGATATAGCTCCCATATATATCATCGTCCGATTTAAGGTAAATGGTGCACCAAAGTCCCTAAATATCTTTCGATTTGCACGAAATTTGGCACAGTGTACTGAATTGAGTCTAGAATGATGTATGCTAAGTTTCGTGAAAATCGGTTCAGATTTAGATATAGCTGCCATATATATTTTCGTCCGATTTAAGACAAATGGTGCAGCAAAGCCCCTATTTATATTTCGATTTGCACGAAATTTGGCACAGTGTACTGAATTGAGTCTAGAAAGTTGTGTGTTAAGTTTCGTGAAGATCCGTTCAGATTTAGATATAGCTCCCATATATATTTTCGTCCAATTTAAGGTAAATGGTGCACCAAAGTCCGAATATATTTTTCGATTTGCACGAAATTTGGCATAGCGTACTGAATTGAGTCTAGAATGATGTGTGTTAAGTTTCGTGAAAATCGGCTCAGATGTAGATATAGCTCTCATATATATCTTCGCCCGATTTAAGGTAAATGGTACACCAAATATCTTTCGATTTGCACGAAATTTGTCACAGTGTACTGAATTAAGCCTAGAATGATGTGTGCTAAGTTTCGTGAAAATCCTCTCAGATTTAGATATAGCTCCAATAGATATTTTCGTGCGATTTAAGGTAAATGGTTCATCAATGTCCCTATTTATATTTCGATTTGCACGAAATTTTGCACAGCGTACTGAATTGTGTCTAGAATGATGTGTGCTAAGTTTCGTGAAAATGGCTCAGATTTAGATATAGCTCCCATATATATTTTCTTCCGATTTAAGGTAAATGGTGCATCAAAGTCCCTAAATATCTTTCGATTTTTTAAACAATTTGTATAGCCTCTTGACAGACCCTAAGGTAGGTACTAAGGCGTGGATTTTTTAAACTATTTTTATAACCTCTTGACAGACCCTAAGGCGTGGATTTTTTAAACAATTTTTATAGCCTCTTGACAGACCCTAAGCCGTGGATTTTTTAAACAATTTTTATAGCCTCTTGGCAGACCCTAAGTCGTGGATTTTTTTTTTTAAATTTTATAGCCTCTTGACAGACCCTAAGGCGTGGATTTTTTTAAACAATTTTTATAGCCTCTTGACAGACCCTAAGGCGTGGATTTTTTTTAAACAATTTTTATAGCCTCTTGACAGCCTCTTGACAGACCCTAAGGTAGGTACTAAGGCGTGGATTTTTTAAACAATTTTTATACTCTCTTGACAGACCCTAAGGTAGGTACTAAGGCGTGGATTTTTTAAACAATTTTTATAGCCTCTTGACAGATCCTAAGGAGTGGATTTTTTTTAAACAATTTTTATAGCCTCTTGACAGACCCTAAGGTAGGTACTAAGGCGTGGATTTTTTTAAACAATTTTTATAGCCTATTGACAGACCCTAAGGCGTGGATTTTTTTTAAACAATTTTTATAGCCTCTTGACAGACCCTAAGGCGTGGATTTTTTAAACAATTTTTATAGCCTCTTGACAGACCCTAAGGCGTGGATTTTTTTAAACAATTTTTATAGCCTCTTGACAGACCCTAAGGCGTGGATTTTTTAAACAATTTTTATAGCCTCTTGACAGACCTTAAGGTCTGACAGACTTAAGGTCGATATTTTAGTAATAAAAAAACAATTCATTTAATATTTTTGCATATATATGAATATATATATATATATATTATTTATAAAATTTTATATTTATTTCATTGTTATATGTTATATATATTTTATGGTTATATATAAATATAAATGTATGTTCGTTGTGTTTTTATATATATATGATTGTGATCATCATACATTTTGTTTGATTTGATTATAAGTAAATATAAAAATAGATTATAATAATAAAATATTAATTAAAGAGATGAAGTATATATAAAATAAAATTTATAAGTAGGTATATATATATATATATATATATATAAAACGAAAATTACAAATATATTTTTTAATAGTTTACAAGGGTTAAGGTTAAAAAATAAAATATTTAAGTTTGAAATAAAAAAATAATATACACATATCCATTTGTTTGTTTTAAATGCAAAAGTTAAAGCACAATATATAATTTGTTTTAAGAAAAAAATCTTTTAAATGATTAATTTTAAAATAAAAATATTTTTATGGCTTTTACTTTTAAGAAAAAAATAAAAAAATATTAAACTTAATAAAAAAAATAGAAATAAATTACAGGGTGACAAATTTACACAATTTTTTTGAGAATTAAGTACAAATTAAAAAAAAAAATAATAAACAAAAATTAAAAAAAAAATAAATAAAAAATTTAAATACATTGTTTTTAATTTTGAAAAAATAATTAAAAAAAAAATGTAATAAAAAATTAAATAACAAAATTTAAATATAATGTTTCAATTTTTGAAAAATAAAAAACATTTTCTTTAAATTTTATTTTTTAATATTTTATAATAGTTAATAATTAAAAAAAAAATTAAATGTAATTTTTTAATAATTTATAACATTGTAATTTTCATTAAAATCAATTTAATTTTTCTTTTTCATATATTTTTAACAATTTAATAATTAATTTTTTTTAAAACATATTAAATTTTTTTATTTATACATGTCAATTGCACTTTGCTTTTATTAATTTTAATTTTTCTTTAATAAAAAATTAGAAACGTGTTTCGTTTTTATTTTTTATAATTTTAAATGCTTTTTAGTTTTCCCCAAAGAATTATAATTTTTATATATAAATTATTTTAATAAGCCATTTTATTTAAGTTATTAAAATTAAAGAAATAAAACTTGGTTTTATTTCCCATTTAGGTTTTAAGGTTTTGAGCAATGGCAAGAATTACTTTTTTTTATAACTTTACAAATATTATAATTTTTAAATTTAAAAATAATAATAATAATATTTTTTAATTTACTTTCTAAGTAAATATTTAATAATAGTAATAATAGAAAACAAATAAAATATATTTTTTATATTAAAATAATTATTAACATTTAAAAATTCAATTAAAATTAAACTTAATCCTAAATTTTAATTTTCTCGTTATAACACTTTTTAGGCAAATACAATTTTAACTGGTCCCAAAGGTAACTGTTTCATATAATTCCAGGCATCGACACGGGTCATTTTGGCTGTGGAACAGCCATTGATGCTAAGGATTTCATCACCATTGCGCACTTGATTGGTTTTCTTGGCAGCACCGCCTGAAAATAGGCAACACAAAAATAAAGATTAATAAAAACCATCCAGAGGAAAGAAATCTCTTTAAGAAAAAACTTACCCATGAACACCTTTTTCACCACCAAAGGTCGGTTACCCAGGGGGGAATCGAAACCACCCTCAATGGAGAAACCCAAACCACAGCTATCTTTGATGATTTCCACACAGCGGGCACCCTTGGGTGTGGCCTCTTCTACACCAAAAAAAAAATTAAAAAATTAATAACAATTCTCCCATTCAATTATTTTGATTCTGAACCTACCCTGTGCCCTAATTTCCGCCTGCAAGGCATTCCTTGTCTCTTGAGCCCTTTCCAGCAGCTCACTTGTTGAAATTTTACTAACATCCGGTCTAGACAGTTGACGTCTAGCTCTAATACTGGCCAAGGTTTCAGCTTCCGAAAGGCTAACCGGTGGCTGTGGGCTACTGCGACTGCTGGAACTTGTACTCGACGGGGTGTGTCGACTTGTTGGCGATGTGGCCTCTTCATTCGAGATCACATCCAAATCTAAATCCAATGATCTTGAAGCTTTGTGATAATTACGTTTCTTTTCATAATCAATTTCTGTCGGCTTCTCGTTCAAACTGGACAGGGAACCCAAAGAGGAACGTTTCTTTGTCAAGGGTTTCACGATGATCGATTCGGAACGTGTTACCACAAGGACGACTTCAGGACGAGGAGTCTGGAAGGAAGAAAAAAATAAAACAATTTTTTTAATATCATTTTCAAGGCCTATTTGAAGGCGTGGATTTTTTTCAGGGGCGTGGATTAAAAAAAAAATTAAGGTCTATTCAAAGGCGTCTATTTAGGGGCGTGGATTTCTTAAAAATATTTTTTTGAAGGTATCTTCAAAGGCGTCTATTCAGGGGCGTGAACATTTTCTGAGGAAGACTTTCAGGCGTAGATTTTGAAATTTTTTTTCTAGTGTAGATATTTAGGCAGAGATTTTTGAAAGACATTTTATAAGGTAGACTTTCAGGCGCAGATTTTTAAAAAAAATATTTCCTAAGAAACTAAACTTTGATTTAAACAAAATATTTTTAAGGTAGGTGGACTTTCAGGCGTAGACTTAAAAAAAAAAAGATTTCTAAGGCGGACTTCCAGGCGCTTTGATAAATTTGGGGACTTCTAGACAAAAAGACCAGCTGAGTGGAAAATAGAAGATGTCCTTGGGAGTCTTCTAGCCATGAAAGAGCTTCAGATAATTATTTTTTAAGGTAGACTCTCAGGCGTAGATTTTTGAAAAATATTTTGAAAAATATCTAAGGTGGACTTTCAGGCGTAGACTTTTAAAAAAATATTTTCTAAGGCGGACTTTCGGGCGCTTTGATAAAGTTGAGGACTTCTAGACAAAAAGACCAGCTGAGAGGAAAATAGAAGAGGTTCTGAGCGGTCTTCTAGGCATAAAAGAGCTTCTGATAGGTCCATAGAAGAGTTCCTGAGTGGTCTTCTAGCCATAAAGAGCTCCAAATAGATCCATAAAAAAAGTTCCTGACAGGACTTCTAACCAAGAAGAGTACCTGAGAGGCAAATATAAGAAGTTCTGAGGGTTCCTTTGGCCATAGAAGAGCTGATAAGAGGTCTCATGACATTGAAGAGCTAAAGAGATGACTTTTATGCATAAAAGATCTTTTAAATGGTCCAAAGAACTTCTAGACAAAAAACATCATCATTTTTGAGGTAGACTTTCAGGCGCTTTGACAAATTTGAAGAATTCTAGAAAAAAAAAGCTGAGAGAAAAATAGAAGAGGTCCTGCGGGATCTTCTAGCCATAAAAGAGCCTCTGATAGGTCAAAAGAAGAGTTCCTGAGGGGTCTTCTAGCAATAAAGAGCACCAGATAGATTCATAAAAAAGTTCCTGACAGGACGTCAAGCCAATGAAGAGTACCTGAGAGGTAAATATAAGAGGTTCTGAGAGTTCTTTTGATCATAGAAGAGCTAATGCGAGGATTCTAGCCAAAAAACACCACCTGAGATGTAAAGAAAAGAGGTGTTGAGAGGTCTTCAAGTTAGATAAGAGCTAAAGAGAGGACTTCTAACCTCAAAAGAGGTTGGGAGGCCAATAGAGCACCTGAGAGGTGGATGAATGAGGTAGGAAGAGGTTATCTGGCCAAGGAAGGGGTTTTGAGAGGTGGGAGCCATAGATGAATTGTAGAGAAGACTTATAGTCAGAAAGAGCACCTGAGGGGTTAATAGAAAATGTCTAATATACATAGAAAAGCTAATGAGAGGTAGTGAGAGGTTTCCTGAAATGCACCTAGCCAAAAAACAGCACCTTGGATGTAAACAAAAGAGGTTCGGAGCGGTCTTCAAGTTATATAAGAGCTAAAGAAAGGACATCTAACCGCAAAAGAGTTACTGAGGAACTTTTGGCCAAAAAAGTGTACCTGAGAGGTGAATGAATAAGGTAGCAAGAGGTTATCTGACGATGGAAGAGGTTCTGAGCGGTGGAGGCCATATAAGAGTTGCAGAGAGGACTTATAGTCAGTAAGAGCACCTGAGAATATAAGACTTAGAAGAGCTAATAAGAGGTATATAGAAAATTTAGTAAGAGCATTCCCTGAAAGAGCACCTGAGAGGTAAATAGCAGAGTTCCTGAGAGGATTTCTAGCCATAAATTAGCTTATGAGACGTATTTTATTAAGGGAATTTCTACTCAAATGTATAATATTAATAGAAGAGACCCTGAAAAGTATTTTTTGTCAATAGAGGAGTTACTGAGGGGTCTTTTAAATATAGAAAACACCTAAGGGGTCTTCTATCACTATAAGAGGTTCTAAGAGGTATTCTGTGTATAAAAAAGCTCGTAATAGAACTTTTATGGATACAAGAACCCGTTATATGCCTTTAATATAAAGAAAAGATTGAGATTCTCTTCGAGACCCCTAAGGCCACTTGAGGTTCGAGTATCGAAAACTTACCTTTAGCACCGTTATTGATTCACGATGTGTTAAACCGCGCATGCTCATGCCATTAACGGCCAATATGCGATCACCCTTCTTTAAACGACCATCTTTAGCTGCCGGGGTATTGGCTAAAATTTTGTGGATCTGCAATTTAAAAAAGAAAACCCCAAAATTAATAAAAGTTCCAACCCATCAAACCCTCTCAACTCACCGTTATTTCCTTAGCTTCATAATCGGAACCACCGGCCAAGGTTATGCCAATACTCGATTCCGGTGTATCCCTTTGCAGGACAATAATAAAGGCTTCCGGTGTTTTAAGTGGTGGATCGGCTTCTTCGATTATCTGTTGTATATCTTGAGCAGTGATCAGGCTCTGATTGCTGCCAAGCGATGAGAAACTACCAAATTCCGTAGTGTTCTCTTGGGTCGAGGAGACATTTTGTGTAGTGGAACTGACACCTGATGAGGAGGAGGCAATCGAATCCAACGATGAGAAACGTTCGTGGTAGGTAGATTGTTTTTGTTGTTGTGACTTGACACTGAGTAGGTTTGTGGTCATTGAGGGGGCAGTGGGGGAGGTGTTTATGTTACTCGAAGTGGAGATGAGGGGAGAAATGGTTGTGGTGTTGTTGTTGGCAGCCTGAGCTGCTGCTGTGCGTTCAAATTTCTCACGGATCTCAGCGGTTGAGATTTTCGGTGTGGTTTTGCTGGACAAACTGCTAAAGGTTGTCTTGGTGGTGGCCTCATATACCGGTTTGAGGGTTCGCTCCGGGGTCCTCGAGTAGGAGTTCAGGGTTCTTGATTTTGCCACCTCAACATGCATCCATTGACTCAACTCACTGGAGGAAGAGGAATCGCCCGATTTTTTGCTCAACGGAGAAATGGCTTCCACGGCCCTCTGGGGACTTAGAGGCTGCACCGGTTGGGAGCTGATGGGAGCCACCACTTTGGCTGGAATGATATTGCTGGTCTTGGGTTTACTCACTGCTTTCTGGGTGGGATCGGCTTTGAAACTTTGTTTGCGTTCTTCATCGATGAACATGGCACTGAGTTTGAGGGGCGAGCTACTGTCGGCCGATTTGCGGCTGCTATCATCCGTGTCGGAGGTGATCTCAACATAGGCTGCCACATTGATGACCTTGTCCACAAGGTTCTGATCATTCTTTGTTACCAATTTATAATTAATGGGCGCCGTGGGTGAAGCAGCCTTGGAGGGTAGGGTGATCAGGGATGAACTGCTCGACACCAGAGATCTGGGTTTGGATTTGTGATGCCGTCTAACTTCATCATCATCATAGCCATCGGTACTGTCCTCATCATCATAGGGACGATTACGCATTAGGGCCGAGGTATCACCACGCCCGTTGCGGCACTTGGCCGAGGCCAGAATGTTTTTGCGATTTGTGGCCGATTCATTGGAACCGGATTTCAAAACTCTGCGACTAAGATCAACGGTTGGGGTGCTGCCTACCGACGAACAGCTGGCCTGTGAACCAGAACCCGAGGTTAATGTTGAGGTGGTGGAACTGGCAATGGAGGTGTTCGTCTCCGAGGAGAGGGTACGTGTGAGGGCAAATTTCTCCGGCACTTGGGGTACACAGGGTGACATGGGTGGTGAGGATATGCGGGAGGAGAATACCGAATCACACGAATCGCTTTCTTCGTGTAACATCTGGCGGGGTGTGGCAACAAGGGATGTGCGTGGTGGCTTTGCAGGAGGGATGGTGTTGAGGGCCTCCATACGTCTCTGGGCCACTGAGGGAGCCATGTGTCGGGAATTACTGGTGTTGTTTTGTGACAAATATCCCCGATTGTTGGCAATGTTGACACTGTTGCTGTGCGTGGAAACATTTAGGGGCCTCAGGGGAGAACTCATCATCGAGGAGGAAGAGGTGGTATTTGTGGTCATGCTCATTTCGGCACGCTTGGCTGGTCTGGGAATGGTGTTAAGGCCTCCAACTCCTCCGCTTACTGAACCCACCCCACTATCTGTGGAATCGGTGGAGGAGGTATTACCCGATGCCTTCATTTGATCACTATCCCGACTTTTAATTTCCGGCAAATCCAATATGGGCTCGAGGGGCACATGAGGCCGATCAGGTATTACCAAACCTCTCAGCTTCGACAGACTACGTCTGCGTTGCTCTAAAATATTGGTAATGGCTGCCTTCCTTGAGGCCTCATCCGGCACATAGGCCGGCTGTCCCGAGAAGCTTATACGCCTATCCAAATGTTGGGTGGAGGCATGGCGCCGGGGCAGCGAGGCATAACTTTGGGTATAATCGGAATTTATGGAGTTCAAGGACTGCAATGAGTCGGAGAAGTTGCTTTGGGCCGGTAAGGGCTTGCTAAGCTGATAGAGTCGGGCAACATCATTGAGATTTTCCACACTCATGGCACGTGTCTTCTGTAGAGAGGCCGAACCCGCCCGATAGGGTGTGTGTGAGGAGGAGGTGTCCAGTAAATTTTCGGTACTTAAATTCAAGGGCTTTGTGGAACTATTGGAACGTGAGAAGCTAATCGGTTTGGCGGCAGGTTCAAGCGGCTGGGCAGCATCATCATTGGAGAACATGGCAATTTTGTCGCGAACACTCTTTTCGGATTTCTCATCCTTGCGCCAATCACTGGAACGACGAGGTACACTTAAGGAACGTTTATAGTCAGGGCAGTCGCTGAAGGAGGAGGCCTCCAATTTGTGGGCTGTGGGTGTGCTGCTGCCACTGCTGTTCCCAGAGGAAAGGTTTTGTGTGGAGCGACTGTTACGTGTGTCGATAATGATTTTTGTGGGCGTCCCTGTGGCCACGCTTATCGGATTGGGCCGGGCATCTTCAACATTGACCACCAAATCTTGGCGATAGACCTTGCGTGGCACTGTGGCTGGTGGTGTGGATTTGGGCAGAGGTGGTGGTACGGCATCAGAACTTCCACCTCCCATTTCCATTGTAATGGGTCCGGATTTTTGTTTCTCCACCTCGACCATAGTTTGGGTAATACCATTTGTGGTTGTGCTGGTCAAATGTGTGCTACGGCTACTGGCCATCATTGTGGGTCCAACTTTAGAGGCAGCATATAATTTCTCGGTATAAACGGTGTTACTATCACCCGGCGCCGAACCCTTTGTTGTGGTCGTCATCACACTTTGCATCAAACTGGTGGTCTTCATGACATTAGCGGATCCACCAGGCATAATCAATGGTTCCGAGAAATTTGGCGGAAATTCATGACCATCCGGGGGTAGACGTGAATAGGTGGGTGGCGATGTTAGGGTTAGATAGTCACTGACAATTATCGGGGTAGTCTGTGGTGGCAGAACATGCAGGCCGTTCTCCATTTTGTTTAAATGTCTTTGTTCAAGATCTGTGAGTAGTAGGTTGGGATGTGAGATGCAGGATTCGGGATGATGGAGGTGGTGATTGGTCGGTTGGGAGGGAAGAGACAAAAAACACAAACAAAAACAATAAAGTTAGTTAAGGGTTTACACTAGTGGATTGTATTTTACAAATAATAGGAATTACAAAAATAATCTATAATAAAAGAGAGTAAAAGAGAGAGAGGAAAAATATATAATTAAGAGAAAAGAGACATATAATTAAGAGATTATGAAATTATAATTCAAAAAAGGTGTTATTTCATTTATCGAATTCGAATATGAATTTCGAAATATATATATTTTTTCAATTCAGATCGAAGACATCGTACCGAAGTTTTTTTTTTTAAATTCACACATTCAAATAAAAAAATAATTACAGGTTTTAAACCCCCATAATTATTTCCCACTAAATACCATTTTTGTCATTCATAAATTATTATTTCTTTTTTGCATATTGGAAATTATCAATGAACCTCCAAAAGAGGTAGAAGAAGACACACATAGATGTATGTGTGTGTTTGTGTGGAAAATCCAATATCGCAATGTATGTCATGTCATTTGGTATACAATTCATGATGATGGTAACAAAAAATAAACTGTGATACATTTAATAAAATGTTTATCAATTTTTATCGTCAAAGGAAGGGGTGGAGAAGAGGAGTTGAGGAAGAAGAAGAAGAAGGGGAGTAGAGGAATTAGTTTTGCAATAGACATATATTTATTACGAATAAAATGTATGAATGAATGTTGAAAGACCATATGGCATATGGTTTTAGAAAATTATATAATTAAATATTGTAACCCATATTTTTGCATGTTTTATTAGAGCTACAGATTTTTGTTTCAAGGTGACTCATAGTGAAATTTTATGTATAATAATTTTTCCCTTGAAATCACCCACCTAAAATGTATTCGTGATGTCTAAATTAACCCCAAATCGAACTTAACGCCAACAAATTAAAAAAATAATTTTGTGTGTTTAAGCCCCATAATTATACGGCTATTTAGATGAGATATATTATATATACCGATTTTTTCTTTCAAGGTGACTCATAGTAAAATTGGATGTAGAATAATTTTTCCATTGACATCACCCCCCTAGAATGGATTCTTGATGGGTAAATTTACCCGAATCAAACTTAACTCCAAAAAATTAAATAAATAATTTTGTTTGTTTAAGCTCCATAATTATAAGGCTATTTAGTTGAGATATATTATAAATACCGATTTTTCTTACAAGGTGACGCATAGTGAAATTTTATGTAGATTAATTTTTCCATTGACATCCCCACCCTAGAATGTATCCCTTATGGTGAAATCGACGTCAAATCGAAACTAACCCCAAAAATGTCTCTAAATAAATTTGTTTGTTTAAGTCCTAGATATATACTTATATTTCATTGAAATAAATTATATATACCGATTTATTGTAAGAGGTAACCTATAGCGGAATTTTATGTAGAATATATTTTCTGTTGGCATCACCCCCCTAGAATGTATTCCTCATGGTGAAATCGACGTCAAATCGAAACTAAACTCAATATTTTTAATATATAAAATGTCAAGATTATTAAGTCCAAAGTAATGCTAGTTTTTTATGGAGATATATTATATATACCGATTTCTTGTAAGAGGTAACATATAGTTAAATTTAATGTAGAATATTTCTTCAGTTGACATCCTCCCCGTAAAATGCCCTCTGGGTGGGGAAATTGAAGCCAACTCGAAAACAAATCCTAAAAATGCCTATATATGAGTTTGTTCTTATATTCATTCCGATTTTTCGTGGATTTATATAGAATATTTTTTACATTGACACTATCCCCATAGAATGTTCCCTTAATAGAGAAATTGGGGCCAACGTAAACCTAACCTCAAAAATTAATAATACAAATTTCCAAGATTGTAAAGGCCAATTTAATGTTTTTATAGATTTATATTATATACACCGATTTCTGGTAAAAGGTAACCTATAGTCAAATTTGATGCAGAATATTTTTTCCATTGACACACGCCCTCTAAAATGTACCACTGAGAGAGAAATTGACCTGAAATCGTACATAACCCCAAAATCATTAATAATAAATTATCAAGATTATAAATCTAATTTGATATTGATTTTTGTATAGCGTTATATTATATATACCGATTTCTTGTAAGAGATCACCTATAGTGAAATTTGCTGCAGAATATTTTTTTTCTCTGACATCCTCTCCCTCCAATGTACCATTGAGAGAGAAATTGACGTCAAATCGAACATAACCCCAAAAATTAGCAATAACAATGTGGAAGGCTTTTTAGCTGAAATTATAGCTGATATTTTCTTGAGTTATATTATATATAGCGATTTCTTGTGCGAGGGGACTTATAGTGAAATTTGATGTAGATTAATTTTTCCACCGACATTTCCCCTCTAAAATATACCGTTAAGGGAGAAATGGACGTCAAATATAACATAACCCCAAAAATAGTACTAGAAAATTTCAAGATTATAAAGCCTAATTTAATATTAGAATTTCATGAAGCTATATTATATATTCCGATTTCTTGTAAGAGGTAACTTGTAGTGAAATTTTATGCAGAATATTTTTTTCTATTGACACTCTTCTCGTTAAATGTAGAATTAAACGTCAGATTGAACATAACCCCAAAATTAGCAATAACAATGTTCAAGACTTTTCTGTTCAGTTTATAGCTGATGTTTTCTTGAGGTACGTTATAAATACCGACTTCTTGTGCGAGGGGACTTCTAGTGAAATTGTATGCAGAATATATTTTCCATTGACACCCTCCCTCCTAAAACACACCATTGAGGGTCTATTTGACGAAAACTCAAATCCATAGTTTTAATGGATTCTTAACATTTTTAATTATGCGAAAATTAATTTTTTTTTAAAAAAGGGGCTGAATGACCCCTAAAATGATCCCGCAGAGGGTTAAGTTATTTGAGCAAAATATTTATTTTAGTGTTTTTAGCAATATCCATGAGCTATTTGGTAAGGGTCTCGGGGAATTTTCGTTCAATTCTAATAAGAAAGAAAATTAAAAGGAAAATTCATTAAAGTACTTAAAAGACCCCTTAGAATGAGCCGCTAGAGGGTTATGTTATTTTAACAAAAAATTCCTCTTAGTGTTGTTAACAATATTTCCGAACACATCCAGTAGCTATTTTTTAAGGATCTCGAGGAATATTGAATAATTTCTTATAAGAAATAAAAATGAAGGCACAATTCAATAAATTACTTAAACGATCCCTCCTTTAAATGAACCGCTACAGGGTTAAGATATTCTACCAAAATGTTCCTCTTAGTGTTGATGACAAAATTCCTTATCAAATCCTGTATCTAATTTGTAAAGACCTCTAGGAAGTTGGGCTCAAGACAAAATAAGAAAACAAATCATCAAAAAAGGACCTAAAAGACCGATTTTGAAGAAAAATAACCTAAAAGACCCATTTCGGTTGCCCCTAGAGGGTTAATATATTTTACAAAAATATACCTCTCAGTGTTCTGAATAATAATTCGGAACACATCGTATACCTTATTCGTAAGGATATGTAAGAAAATGTAGATCGATTCAAAGTACCTCATCATTTGAGACTATACACAAAATATGTTGCATACTTTTAGGGGTTTAAATTATTTTCATTATTTTAATGAAACAAAGAATTGCACGCCTCCGTAATTTTTTAAAATTACTTTACCCCCCAAAAATTACCAACGAATTAATAACAACAACAAAAACAATTGACAATCTTAACCAACCACCGGCTGGCTGCCTGCTTGACTAACCGATTTAAATAATTTATTTGACAAATCTAATCCACATATTGGACTTATCCGCCACCACCACCACTACTGTCTGTCGGTCTGCCATTAAATCAAAGAACAATTGAATTTTGTTTACAATTTAACAACACACAGCCAACTGTCCGACCCACAGTGTTTTCAATTTTTGAGAAAAAGTCCGCATTCTGAAGCTAACTTCGAAAAAACCGAAAAACAAATTGACAGTGATTTTTTTCAAATTTGACAGGTTGTAGATTATGTGCGCAGGCGCGCATGCAGCTACATGGCCATGTAAACAAAACACATTTGACAAATGGCTAAAAAATTGAGTGAACATTTTTTGTTGTTCTGACAAAAAAAACTTAGACAAATGACCAGAGAACGTTTTTTCGGTTGGTATTAGTTTTTGAGAGAAAAAAACCCCAAAATATTGAATTGATTACCGTCAAATTCAAATGTTCTTATGACTCGGTCGTCTTAGGTTACCAGCAAAGAACAAGAATTTGTTGCAGAAACACAAAAACCTTTAAATGAAGTCATCTGTCCTGTAGTCTGTCTGTGTCTCTGTCTACCCCGCAACGAAATTTACTTCCATCTCAGCCAAGATTGAGAGTATGTCTAATCTTAAAAAGACAAATTTGTTAATGTCAACTCAAGTGACAGTTAAAAAATATTTTGTTAAATGAATGCAAAACTTCAATAGCAAAAAAAAAAAAAAAAAAAATCAGCAACAACAACATCAACAATGCGGACAAGAATGGAAACCGTAACAACCAACAACAATGACATTAAAACCAATGCTATTAACATTTGAAAATATGCGAATTAGGGTGTTTGGTCATGGTTGGAATTGGAGATAGGATAGATAATTTATCTAAATTTTATACTTAATGTAGCGACGTTACCTAAATACTCTAGATAAAACATTCAAGTTATTGGGAACATGTGGTTGAGGAATATTAAATGTAAGGAGTAATTTATCTACATTATCTAAATATCATAAATGATTTATCTACGTTATCTAAATATACAAAATAATTTATTTACATTATCTAAAATCATAGAAAAATCTATATAAGTTACCCAGATATCATAAATAATTTATCTACGTTATTTAAATGTCATAGAAAATGTATCTACGTTATCTAAATAACATAGAATGTATCTAGGCCA